ACATTAGTTGTGTATTGGAACAACAAGCAGGTAATAATTGCATTAAATTCTGAGCTGAGCCGACAGGAGCCCTGCGGCCAGGAGACCGTTCAGCCCCCAACGCAGCCCACCGGCACAGGCTTTTACCCCCCAACACGGCTGAGTAGCTCCCGCTGTGTTGTGTAAGAGCATTACCTGCACACTTCTGCATAACTGGGTCTGAATACAGAGCCCGGCGTGTTTAAAAGCTGTTTCTGCTGCATATTTAATAACCGAACAGAAGCTGCAGCTGATTCTACAGCAGAGTTACTGAATTCACTCCGTTAGCCGGCGGCTCAGAGCGGCTCAGAGCGGGACGAGGAGGAAAAGCAGGACAGAAACACTGAATATACTCAGAAAAGCTCTTACATTTGACCCTTCAGGCTGTTTTCTGTTTCAGACAAACAGCATTACTAACCGTTATTATTCCTGTACGTTCAGTTACGTAATTCGGTACATTGACATTTAATTACTGCTCTGCATGAACAGGTTCAGGTTATGCATTTCTGTTTGTTTTGACATCAAAAAATGAAGAAAAAAAACAAAAAACATATAAATGATGTTTTTTGAAATCATAATAAAACATCTACTAACAGACACTAATGTGGTGTGGATTGAAAGTTTACAGTAAATGATATAAAATTACAGACTGAATTTGTTATCAGCAGCCATGACTGAGTCATAATTAAGCTTAATCACAGCTGGCAGACGGTTAGCTGAAGACACACTTAGCTTAACACTGAAGACTTGAGAGAAAAGGATTCTCTTACAGATATTTTGCTGTTTTGTTTATGCTTTTACGTAAGCATCGTAATGCTGATGAACATATATGTGATATGGGTGATAATGGTCATGTTGGGAAAGAAAACCGAGAGAACTTAGAGAACATTTCATTTTAAACAGTGCTGAATACTACTAAATATTAAAAGTTGTACAATTATGAAAATTTAATAGTTCATAGTTTCCCAAAGGCATCGAAAGCTGAACTCCAGAGCACCTTCACTATATCAATGGAAGCTGGTCACTTTTTAAATGTAAAGAAGGTGGGCGTGGATTTGGAACTCCTGCAGGGGGAGCTATTAGTGCACAAGCGTTTAGTGTTCGTCATATAGAGAAGAAACAGTGGTGAACCCACATCAGCAGGAGCTAACAGACACACACATTTACAGACACAACCTTCAGAGCCTGTTTATCACCAAAACATCCTGAGTTCTGTATGTGGTTTACAGTAAAGATCTTCATTAAACCAGTTAAAGCTGCACTGTGTCAGATTCTCTATGTTGTTACTGAGTGAGGAGAATAAACAGGCTAAAATATGCTGAGTGTGTTCTGCTGTGAGTCGCCTGTAAAGCCTGAAATAATCATTTAAAAGTCAGAGGCGTCGAGTTTTTCACACCACGTCGTACGTCTTTACCTATTAACGTCTCACACAGACTCAAAAAGGAGGTCCGGCTCGATGTTTCGCCTCAGATGATCTCAAATCAACATCATACTGATGAAGATGTGATGATAATAGTAGATCATTCACTCTCATCCTCAGAGACGCTGCTTCACCCAGTTCAGAGTGAGCTCTCTGATTCTCTCTCAATCAGCAGATTCATCCACTCAGGCAAGAAGCACAGCATACATTATGGAATGTTCTGTGTGCAGTTACACATTTAGTCCAGAGGGGTCTCCAAATCCCCAAAACGTACACAGTGCAGTCTCATGTTAAAAGCGTGTAAGTTAAAGAGTGAGCAGAGCGTGTATTGAATGCGTCTGTGCAGCGGTTTTAATCACTGTTTCTCATTTTTATCACCATTATAATTATTTAAGTATTGCATTTTGAGACTTCATTGTATTTAATCTTTTTTGGGCCAAAGTTTTTGGCCTTTTTTCTCTTTTGGCTGAAAACCAATTTTTTCAGTGGCTTAAATTTTGGTGTATTCCTAATATAGAGCACTTTGGGATATAAAACCCAATTCTGGGGGGCTTTGTACCCCTCTAACCCATACCGGGCATTGGGCATGGAGACCTTAGGCTCATGTGCAGCTGCTCCAAAGCGTCACATTTTATTGGTCAGTGCTTTTCTGTGAATGTATGGTTATTCAAGCTGTGTTGGCAGTGGGCGACCTTAAAGTAGCTGAATCTCATCAGAAGGACCGTCTGGATACATAAAGGATATTTTTCAGAATTTTTATAGACATTTTGATTGAAAGTCTTGTGTTTAAGTTCTTTGTTTGAAGAACAGCTCGTGTCTGAAGGCGGGGACTCTGGTAGTGGAGGGGCTGAGGGGGATTTGTGGATTTGTTAACTGCTAAAAATCTGTTTAACGCTGCATTCTGTAGCAGAGTATAGTGTATAGAGTGTGCAGAGTGAGCAGAGTGTAGTGTACAGAGTGTGCAGAGTGAGCAGAGTGTAGTGTACAGAGTGTACAGAGTGAGCAGAGTGTAGTGTACAGAGTGTGCAGAGTGAGCAGAGTGTAGTGTACAGAGTGTGCAGAGTGAGCAGAGCATAGTGTGCAGAGTGTGCAGAGTGTAGTGTACAGAGTGTGCAGAGTGAGCAGAGTGCAGTGTACAGAGTGAGCAGAGCGTAGTGTATAGAGTGTGCAGAGTGAGCAGAGTGCAGTGTACAGAGTGAGCAGAGTGTCGCGTATAGAGTGTGCAGAGTGAGCAGAGTGTAGTGTATAGAGTGTGCAGAGTGTGCCGAGTGTAGTGTACAGAGTGTGCAGAGTGAGCAGAGCATAGTGTATAGAGTGTGCAGAGTGAGCAGAGTGTAGTGTATAGAGTGAGCAGAGTGAGCAGAGTGTCGCGTATAGAGTGTGCAGAGTGTAGTGTATAGAGTGTGCAGAGTGAGCAGAGTGTAGTGTACAGAGTGTGCAGAGTGAGCAGAGTGTAGTGTACAGAGTGTGCAGAGTGTAGTGTACAGAGTGAGCAGAGTGTAGTGTACAGAGTGTGCAGAGTGAGCAGAGTGTAGTGTACAGAGTGTGCAGAGTGTGCAGAGTGTAGTGTACAGAGTGCGCAGAGTGAGCAGAGCATAGTGTGCAGAGTGTGCAGAGTGTAGTATACAGAGTGTGCAGAGTGAGCAGAGTGCAGTGTACAGAGTGAGCAGAGTGAGCAGAGCGTAGTGTATAGAGTGTGCAGAGTGTGCAGAGTGCAGTGTACAGAGTGAGCAGAGTGTCGCGTATAGAGTGTGCAGAGTGAGCAGAGTGTAGTGTATAGAGTGTGCAGAGTGTGCCGAGTGTAGTGTACAGAGTGTGCAGAGTGAGCAGAGCGTAGTGTATAGAGTGAGCAGAGTGAGCAGAGTGTCGCGTATAGAGTGTGCAGAGTGAGCAGAGTGTAGTGTATAGAGTGTGCAGAGTGAGCAGAGTGTAGTGTACAGAGTGTGCAGAGTGAGCAGAGCGTAGTGTACAGAGTGTGCAGAGTGAGCAGAGCGTAGTGTATAGAGTGTGCAGAGTGAGCAGAGTGAGCAGAGTGTCGCGTCTAGAGTGTGCAGAGTGAGCAGAGTGTAGTGTATAGAGTGAGCAGAGTGTCGCGTATAGAGTGTGCAGAGTGAGCAGAGTGTAGTGTATAGAGTGAGCAGAGTGTCGCGTATAGAGTGTGCAGAGTGAGCAGAGTGTAGTGTATAGAGTGTGCAGAGTGAGCAGAGTGTAGTGTACAGAGTGAGCAGAGTGAGCAGAGTGTAGTGTACAGAGTGTGCAGAGTGAGCAGAGCGTAGTGTATAGAGTGTGCAGAGTGAGCAGAGTGTAGTGTATAGAGTGTGCAGAGTGTGCAGAGTGAGCAGAGTGTAGTGTATAGAGTGTGCAGAGTGAGCAGAGTGTCGCGTATAGAGTGTGCAGAGTGAGCAGAGTGTAGTGCACAGAGTGTGCAGAGTGTGCAGAGTGAGCAGAGTACTGTAGCTTCATGACTGACTCTGTTTGATGTAATTTACCTCAAAATAAGTCGAGTCCCCGTGTGAAGGTTCTCCGGATGGTGGTGGTTCTGCTGCGGTAGAGAAGTGAGAGAAGTGTATCAGGAGTTTAACACCTCTCTGCTATTTCTGTCTGCGTGACTCAGCCGAGCGCCGGTTCTCCACTCCGAGGAGAGACCGAGCGTCAGGATATACAGCCCTCTGATCGACGGCTTTACGATAACATCACGATATCGTCTTTTAATAAGGAGGATAACGTCTTTAGGGGAACGTGAGAGGAGCAGTGTGGGGGTCGTGGGAGCTGTGACCAGCAGGAACCCGCTAAAGAATGCTAAAGAACACTGAAGAACACTAAAGAACACTGAAGAACGCTAAAGAATGCTGAAGAATGTGTTTGTGGTTAGTGAGAGAGGAGAGTGATGGGAAAGTGGGTCAGGGAGGAAGAGCAGAGGCTCTTTCTGGAAGCAGTTTGCTTCGGGCACGACCTCTGTGGGTGGGGGCTGGGGGTGGGGGCGGGGGGGCGCATATTTGTGTGTGATTTATCATCCATTCTTCTCACTGCAGTTCCAGCAAACATCAGCTGTTTGGTAAAGACACAAATAGAGATGTGCTGATCCAAGATCTTCTCTCCCAACACAGATTCCAGCACCTGAACTCCAGACTGAGATGGGTTTGGTGTGAAGCGCTCCGTTCTAGATAAACATACCGAGTCAGAACTGTTCACAGTGGTGGTGATAGGAACCAGACGTCCACCTCTAAAAGCTCCCTCACAGAAAGTTCCTACAGTAAATGGTTATGAATTCACTGCCTGATGACTGAGACACTGTTTTATGATAGTTTAGAGAACTTAAACTCCATTCATGGTGGAGGGATACATGCAGGGCGCTGTGAGGCAAAATAGTCCCCAAAGAAAACTTATTATTTCAGATTTTCCACTATTTTCCATCATCAACATTCCATATAAACTCAGAAGACTCTCTCTCTCTCTCTGTCTCTCACTCTCTCTGTCTCTCTCTCTCTCTCTGTCTCTCTCTCTCTCTCTCTCTGTCTCTCTCTCTCTCTTTCTCGCTCTCTGTCTGTCTCTCTCTCTGCAGGCTGTGCAGTCTGACTCTGAAGAGGCTGATTATTCTTAGGGAGTTGGATAAAGAACTGAACTCGGTCGTCATCGCCGTCAAAATCCAGGTGAGTGACCTCACAGTGGTCAGTGAAGTTCTGATGAGGCGATAAACTCCGCCTTCCGACTGGAGCTGACTAATAAAGCTCCATCTGAATCACAGCTACACCGCTGATACATGGAGCAGTGGGATACATCCGTTTCCATGGTTACCCTACACCCACTGCCATGGTTACACTACCTTGTCCATGGTTGTATTACATTTGTTTTGATGGTTTCGTTATACCTGTTTCCATGGTAATGCAACACACATTTTCATGGTGTGCTACCAATTTCTGTGGCGCTTTAGCAGTTTCTATGGTTACTCTTTACCCGTTTCTATGGTTACTCTATACCCGTTTCTATGGTTAGGTGAAGGAGTTAGTTTGAAGTATTCAGTCAGTGATTTGCTGAGGAACACTGATGTTGTTTGATGTCATTTCTGTGATTTGTGTGTCGACTGAACGATAATTATACACATATTTAACAACACAGTTACGGTAATTTAATGATGATGTCATAACTTTACAGTCATAAACTCTAAATTCATCATTTCACAGTGATATCTCCACCTCTGACCCGCGTAATATCCCCCTCTTTTTTCTGTTTTTACCGAAACCTTAAATGGTGCAGCAGTTATTTCAAGCAGGAAGCTAACGTAACTAACACATTTGAGGAGGGTGATGTAGGCATGCAGTTAGCACCATGCTAATTGGAGGGATATAAGCTTCGATTACTTGTTAGGTACATTAGCGTTGTGGCTCCAGTGCTAAAACTAAAGAAGCAAAACTTCAGATACCAAACATGTCTACAGTTGGGGGTGGGGGGTGGGGGGGGGTGGTATTTTGGCTGAATTGTCGCTTTAAAGCGTGTGGCTGTAATGCAGTGGTTGTAATCGAGCACATCTGTCTCTAATACCGTCCCGCTGTGAGGGTGAGGTAATAGGACGCTGTCGATCCACACCCTCAAACAGCTCAACACTCACAGTGAACACACTCTGCACTGCTGCGCACACTCAGAGTAAACAGAGCGCCGGGCCATGATCACACATACAGACATACTGGTAGCACTTTACAGATCAGTAATAAGCAGGTAATGACATGGTAATATTATGGTAACTTAAATTGTATAAACCTAAAACTTACATGTTTATATTCTAGTTGTTAATAAATAAGTTATTATATAGTTACTGTAGTGGTAACAGGTCAGTGATGCAGTGGTAAATTAATGGTAACAAGTTGCACAAACCTAAAAATGACATGCTAATTATCTAGTTATTAAAACGTTAAGATAAAGAAAGATAAACATGTTGTGTAACGATAAATGTGTGCTTTGAGTTTTAAACTAATTTCAGAGCCTTTTCTCAGATCTGTGCTTTATAACAGTTACAGTGTTGTGACAATAACAGGTGGCTCTAAAGGAAGATGTGATAATGTGATGCTTCCAGCTCTGACTGTGTTTAATCTCAGTATATGTAGCTCATCTGCTCCTGAGTGACCTCACTGTCTGTAGGTGGCGCTACATGTAAAAGTAATAGAACGACCCTGAGTGATCGTAATAAAGTCATTTTCATAAGATAATACAGTCATAATCTCCATATTCAGTTGGTGTGAATAACTGAGAAACAAGGTGGAAGGAAGTTTGTATTTTATAACTTTAATATAATGTAGTTACACTGTAATTACAGTCTAACAGTGTCTGTTCATCACACTGACCATCTAAACACATAACAGATGTTTTTGGGGTAATAACACTGACATTATAAAACCCTATACAGATCCTGAATGGTTGGGTTGATATGTTGATTAATCAGATATGATGCTGTAAGAGCTGAACGCTACATGAATATATAACAACTTTAAAAAGCAGAGACTGACCGACTGACTGTTCTGTGTTAGTCACGTTTTTATATCAGCTGGAAAACTAACACTTTATTTACTGGTAATTAGAGTTCATTACTATTAAAAAATAGAAAATTATCATAATACAACTTGTTACTATAATGTCACCATGTCATTACCTGCTTATTACTGATCTATAAAGTGCTATTGGAATATTTATCAGTGTTTTGTTTTATATTTATATTTTATCACCGTTGAAAGAAAAACTCTGGAATATATGTCTGAAAATATGAATATATCTAGAATAATAACTTTATACGAGTAAAAAAACACTCTTAATGTATGTTAATGTTAAAATAAAGTAACAATTATTATGTGCTAATGTAACAATGACATTAGGTTAATGTAGCAATTATTCTGGATTAATGTGACTATTATTATGTTACAGTTACTGACTTAATGTAAGTTATTATGTTAATGTAACAGTTCCTAAGTAAAATGTAATATTTATTATATAGTAATGTAACAAATGTAACAGCATTATGTCATTAATTATGTCATAATGTAACATCTATTGTGATAATATAACAGTTATGTTTCTGTAACAGTTACTACCTTAATGTAATTGTTTTTATGATAATGTAACACATGTGACGACTGTTATGTAATAACAGTAATGTTAATGTAATCGTTAATATGTCGTATTCTAACTAATGTAGCAATTGTTATATAATAATCCACTGTTTCTATGTTACTGTAAGATTTTATTCTGAGTAATTTTGAATAATTTTGTTTGTCTGTTTGATATGAAATGTTCACACAGTGTGAAGAACAGCTGATAATGTAAATAATATAAAACATAAGAATCCACAAAAATAGAGTTTTATTATATCAGGGAAGAGGAGTCAGTGTTTATTCCGGAGTGTCCTGTGTCCCGGTCAGCGTCTGGCCTGTGACCACGTTCCTGACCTCACGTTTTATTATTAACCTTTATAGAAATGTAAAAACAAACGTAATGAACGACAGTACAGGAGTCTGAGATCATCCTGAAACAGACTGGGCAGGCTGGACGCTGGGAGAAGCTTCTGGATTAACCGGACTGTTCCGAGTGTTTCCGCTGCGTCTCCTGGGAAAAGAGCGAGGGAACCAGTTTATCTCTTTGTTTTCAGCGTCTCGTCCTTTTCTAGCTCTGCAGTGAGTCTCTCAGAGGAAGCGGCTCCGACTGGCCCCCCACCATAAACACCAAACACTTAAAGCGATAGTTCAGCCAAATATCACATTCCCCCCTCCCCCACCCCCACCCCCGCCTGGTACACCAAATATAGTTTGTTTCTTCAGCTTTAGCACTGCAGATACGAGGCTAATGTAGCTAACAAGCAATAGAACCTTATACCCCACCAATTAGCATGGTGCTAACTGCTTGTCTAAAAAAGCACAGGCCTCAGACTGCTGGAAGGATGTGCTAATAACACACAATGACAACCTCTAATATACTTGATTGATTAATGTACCTGTGCTTTCTGACTGTACGACGCACAAAAAGGGGGATTTTCCTTTAAATCTGGAAAGTAGAATCAGGTATTTCACTAAAAGAGCAAAGCATGTTTAATCTTTACTACAGCAAACGGGGCAGCAGGACGCTGACATTACTGCCTTACTGATACTGAGCGCTGATTGGTTGGCATTACTGCTACTGAGCGCTGATTGGTTGGCATTACTGCTACTGAGCGCTGATTGGTTAGCGTTACTGCTACTGAGCGCTGATTCGTAACCGTTACTGATACTGAGAGCTGATTGGTTAGTGTTACTGCTACTGAGAGCTGATTGGTTAGCATTACTGCTACTGAGCGCTGATTGGTTAGCATTACTGCTACTGAGCGCTGATTGGTTAGCGTTACTGCTACTGAGCGCTGATTGGTTATCGTTACTGCTACTGAGCGCTGATTGGTTAGCGTTACTGCTACTGAGAGCTGATTGGTTATCGTTACTGCTACTGAGCGCTGATTGGTTAGTGTTACTGCTACTGAGAGCTGATTGGTTAGTGTTACTGCTACTGAGCGCTGATTGGTTAGCATTACTGCTACTGAGCGCTGATTGGTTAGCATTACTGCTACTGAGCGCTGATTGGTAACCGTTACTGCTACTGAGCTGATGGTTACGTTACTGCTACTGAGAGCTGATTGGTTAGCGTTACTGCTACTGAGAGCTGATTGGTTAGTGTTACTGCTACTGAGAGCTGATTGGTTAGCGTTACTGCTAATGAGAGCTGATTGGTAACCGTTACTGCTACTGAGAGCTGATTGGTTAGCGTTACTGCTACTAAGCGCTGATTGGTAACCGTTACTGCTACTGAGCGCTGATTGGTTAGCGTTACTGCTACTGAGCGCTGATTGGTAACCGTTACTGCTACTGAGCGCTGATTGGTTAGCGTTACTGCTAATGAGAGCTGATTGGTAACCGTTACTGCTACTGAGCGCTGATTGGTAACCGTTACTGCTACTGAGCGCTGATTGGTTAGCGTTACTGCTACTGAGCGCTGATTGGTAACCGTTACTGCTACTGAGCGCTGATTGGTTAGCTTTACTGCTACTAAGCGCTGATTGGTAACCGTTACTGCTACTGAGCGCTGATTGGTTAGCGTTACTGCTACTAAGCGCTGATTGGTAACCGTTACTGCTACTGAGCGCTGATTGGTTAGCGTTACTGCTACTGAGCGCTGATTGGTAACCGTTACTGCTACTGAGCACTGATGGTTAGTGTTACTGTACGAGAGCTGATTGTAACCTGCTACTGAGCGCTATGGTTAGGTTACTCTATGAGCGCTGATTGGTAACCGTTACTGCTACTGAGCGCTGATTGGTTAGTGTTACTGCTACTGAGAGCTGATTGGTTAGTGTTACTGCTACTGAGCGCTGATTGGTTAGCATTACTGCTACTGAGCGCTGATAGGTTAGCATTACTGCTACTGAGCGCTGATTGGTAACCGTTACTGCTACTGAGAGCTGATTGGTTAGCGTTACTGCTACTGAGAGCTGATTGGTTAGTGTTACTGCTACTGAGAGCTGATTGGTTAGCGTTACTGCTAATGAGAGCTGATTGGTAACCGTTACTGCTACTGAGAGCTGATTGGTTAGCGTTACTGCTACTAAGCGCTGATTGGTTAGCGTTACTGCTACTGAGCGCTGATTGGTAACCGTTACTGCTACTGAGCGCTGATTGGTTAGCGTTACTGCTAATGAGAGCTGATTGGTAACCGTTACTGCTACTGAGCGCTGATTGGTAACCGTTACTGCTACTGAGCGCTGATTGGTAACCGTTACTGCTACTGAGCGCTGATTGGTTAGCGTTACTGCTACTAAGCGCTGATTGGTAACCGTTACTGCTACTGAGCGCTGATTGGTTAGCGTTACTGCTACTGAGCGCTGATTGGTTAGCTTTACTGCTACTAAGCGCTGATTGGTAACCGTTACTGCTACTGAGCGCTGATTGGTTAGCGTTACTGCTACTAAGCGCTGATTGGTAACCGTTACTGCTACTGAGCGCTGATTGGTTAGCGTTACTGCTACTGAGCGCTGATTGGTTAGCTTTACTGCTACTAAGCGCTGATTGGTACCGTTACTGCTACTGAGCGCTGATTGGTTAGCGTTACTGCTACTAAGCGCTGATTGGTAACCGTTACTGCTACTGAGAGCTGATTGGTTAGCGTTACTGCTACTGAGCGCTGATTGGTTAGTGTTACTGCTACTGAGCGCTGATTGGTAATCGTTACTGCTACTGAGAGCTGATTGGTTAGCGTTACTGCTACTGAGAGCTGATTGGTTAGCGTTACTGCTACTGAGCGCTGATTGGTAACCGTTACTGCTACTGAGCACTGATTGGTTAGTGTTACTGCTACTGAGCGCTGATTGGTAACCGTTACTGCTACTGAGCGCTGATTGGTTAGTGTTACTGCTACTGAGCGCTGATTGGTAACCGTTACTGCTACTGAGCGCTGATTGGTTAGTGTTACTGCTACTGAGCGCTGATTGGTTAGCGTTACTGCTACCGAGCGCTGATTGGTAACCGTTACTGCTACTGAGCGCTGATTGGTAACCGTTACTGCTACTGAGAGCTGATTGGTTAGCGTTACTGCTACTGAACGCTGATTGGTTAGCATTACTGCTACTGAGAGCTGATTGGTTAGCGTTACTGCTACTGAGCGCTGATTGGTTAGTGTTACTGCTACTGAGCGCTGATTGGTAATCGTTACTGCTACTGAGAGCTGATTGGTTAGCGTTACTGCTACTGAGAGCTGATTGGTTAGCGTTACTGCTACTGAGAGCTGATTGGTAACCGTTACTGATACTGAGCGCTGATTGGTTAGCGTTACTGCTACTGAGTGCTGATTGGTTAGTGTTACTGCTACTGAGCGCTGATTGGTTAGTGTTACTGCTACTGAGCGCTGATTGGTAACCGTTACTGCTACTGAGCGCTGATTGGTTAGTGTTACTGCTACTGAGCGCTGATTGGTTAGCGTTACTGCTTCTGAGCGCTGATTGGTTAGTGTTACTGCTACTGAGAGCTGATTGGTAACCGTTACTGCTACTGAGCACTGATTGGTTAGCGTTACTGCTACTGAGAGCTGATTGGTTAGCATTACTGCTACTGAGAGCTGATTGGTAACCGTTACTGCTACTGAGCGCTGATTGGTTAGCATTACTTCTCCGTTCGTTTTGGACTGGCTCGGGAGCGCCCCCTAGCATCAGACCAACCTGGAAGACAGTACTGCGTGGCAGTTGTCCTCACTACACACTCTATGGTGGCACATTCTGGCCTTCACTCTGTCCGATTCGTAGCATCGTGTGATTGGAGGAAACCACGTGACTAAATTTGAGAGAAAAATGAAAGAAGATAAAAAAGAACAGAAGTACAGCTAAAACATCTCTGATTTTATTTTTTATGTCACTCTGGAATAAAATGAAATAAATGTATAAACTTTATTTTTCACCAAACTGTCGCTTTAAAGCTCCTCTCACAGAACAGCATCAGTAACCAGAGCAGTTCCTGAAAGTCCTCAGCAGGTCTCTGACTCTCTGACTGTTCAGGGAGGATGAGATTCTGGCCGCGGGGGATCAGCTGGGTGGTCTTGGCTGCAGACTCTCAGTTCAGTAAAGGACAGAGGGCACGAACTCTTAAAGGTGCGGTCAGACTAACACTGCCTGACCGCAGCACACATCACCTTTATCCTCCCGAAACCCAGCACCGAAAAACCTGCTGTAAGAACATTTTATCACTGAGACAAGACTAAAAGTCTCAGGCAGCAGAGAAGCGTCTTTACATCTGTTCATCTGAGTGAGTTTCTGTCAGGAAAAACAACATATAACATCAGAATAAACACAAATAAACACAAATACAGTAAAAACACTATATAACATTAAAACAAACAAACACAAATAGAGTAAACACAGTATATAACATAAGAATAAACACAGGTAAACACAAATACAGTAAAACTACTATATAACATTAGAATAAACTTAGAGCAAAAACACTATGACATCAAAATAAAAACAAATGAACATAAATACAGTAAAAACACTACACAATGCATTGTAAACATGAGGTCCATCTGCAGCTCAGTGTGCATTTTACATTACTGTAGCAGTAACAAACTCAAGGGGGCGCTAAAGGCGGAATCAGAGGATCTGTGAAAAGGATCTTCCGAACAAACACAAGCACTAATCATATGGCCATGTGGACTCGTTGCGTTATGAATTCATCATGAGCCACTTTGAGTCATTATGATATTTATGATCATCTTCATAAGAGATGTGTGTGTACATTACAGAGGTGGGCGTGGCTACTCGAGTTACACACCACATCAAACACATTCCAGCAGCTCACAAACAGAAAACATCCAAACGTTTAATCCTGACCAGCTGCCTCGCTGGCTTCGGTGGACGCAGTGTGTCATCAACCTGAGCTTTAGCTCGGAACCCAGCCACTGCTTGTACACTAGAAGTTGTGAGTGCATTGTGGGAAAATTGGACACATTTAAAAAGACGGCTCTTCAAATAGTTTATTTTAGAACCATGAGTTGTGTATAGAACCATTTGCATGCTTAAATTGTTCCTAAGATTGATGGAGAATGTGTTGCAAAGGGTTCTTCTATGGTCATGGTGTCAAGCTTGTTACAGTATCAGAACTCTTTTTGGAGCTATATAGAACAGTGTTCTATATAACGTTCTCCATCAATCTGAAGAACCATTTCACCATGTGAAGAAACATTTAAGCACGCAAATGGTTCTATAAAAAACTCATGCTTCTAAAAAAACAGTGTGTTTACTGAAGAACCCTTGAAGAACCATCTTTTTAAGAGTGTACTGCCTGTAGAATCCCTGTAGAACAGATAGGGGTTATTTTCAGTCCATTCAGCTCTGTAATCTAATGGGGTCTTTATATGTGTGTATTTTCGTGCACAGGGTTCCAAACGTGTGTTGAGATCCAATGAGTACGTTCTTCCTCCCAGCGGTCTGATGGAGACGGATCTGGAGCTCACCTTCTCTCTGCAGGTACGGAACCGGAATCTCTCCTGTACTTTGTATGCTTACGGTGTTTTCACACTAGTCCCGAATACCTGAGTCGCACTCTGGACCGATTCTGGGCTCATCTGGGGGAGGAGCTCGTTATCACTGGTTTCCTTTCACACACAAGAGCTCCAACTGAATCGTGGATCACTGCGATTCCATACGTCACCCTTCTGCATGCAGGTTTGCTGAATGGTCAGCAGCTTCATCGGTTTACTGCAGTTTATAGTTACCTTGGATATAAAAACACTGAAGCAGTGAAGAGCAGCTCTTTCTGTCCACAGAGTCCTCTCCCCCATTACAGCACTCGAAAGAGGAAGTGACGCAATAAGTCGATGCAGTCACATTGCAAAATGAACCAATCACGAAGCCCCACACACAGCGCCGGGAGCAGAGAGCATCCACACGTGCAGTGGACCCACCAGAGCATCCTGGGTCCAGAAAACAGCTCTAGTGTGAAAACACCATTTAAGACCTGTCTGTTTCCAGATGTTGGCGGTCAGATTGTTTATCTTTTCTCTGTGTTTTTGTTGCAGTATCCACACTTTCTGAAGAGAGATGCTAACCGGCTGCAGATCATGCTGCAGCGACGGAAACGCTACAAAAACCGGACGATCCTTGGCTACAAGACTCTCGCTCTGGGGGTCATCAACATGGCTGAGGTGAGGACGGCACTCAGCATGGAGCTGCAGGAGAGGGCAGGATTCCAGGATTGGGTATTAATGATGTAAAAGGCCTGAAAACATGCTAAACCTGCCCTGTGCAGACTAAACCAGCCGACAGGTCAACAGGCTCCTCCAACAATGTTCAGGTTGTGCTTTGAACTGAAATAGTAAGTGATGCATCGACAAAGCAACAAACAAAGTAAAGGACATGTTACAAACGTTTAACCCTTACAGGTCAACGGCGTCGTATATGAGATCAAAGGATGTCGTAAGTAAAAGAATAAATATCTCAGTAAAGTTGTACACTAGAGACTCACTTTCATTTTACCCAGAAGTACAGCGCTTTGCTGTTGACAGTTCAGGAACACGGCCTCTGATTGGTCTACATGTCAGGAACACGGCCTCTGATTGGTCAACATGTCAGGAACACGGCCTCTGATTCGTCTACATGTCAGGAACACAGCCTCTGATTGGTCAACATGTCAGGAACACGGCCTCTGATTGGTTGACAAGTCAGGAGCACGGCCTCTGATTGGTTGACAAGTCAGGCACACAGCCTCTGATTGGTCAACATGTCAGGAACACAGCCTCTGATTGGTCTACATATCAGGAACACAGCCTCTGATTGGTCAACATGTCAGGAACACAGCCTCTGATTGGTGTAAAAGTTAGAAACAGAGCATCTAATTGGTCAGCAATAGTCTACAAGTCTGGAACACAGCCTCTGATTGGTCTACAACCAATCGACCAATAGAACGGGACACTCTGCAGCAGCTGCACATGATCCTAAGGTCTCCATGTCCATTGCCCAGTGTGGGGTATAAAGACCCCCAGCATTGGGCTGTGGAGCAGTGGAACTGGGTTCTCTGGAGTGATGGAGCTCCATCCAGTACCTTTGGGATGAGTTAGTGATCCAGAACTGAACATCCAACGTCAGTACCTGACCTCACTAATGCTCAATCAAATCCTCACAGCAGTGTTCAACATCCAGTGTAGAGCCTTCCCAGAAGAGTAGAGGCTGTTACTGCAGCACAGACTCACTATTAACACCTTCGTTTCAGAGGAAACTCTGCAGTTTCAGACCTTCACTCAGTGTTCTGATGCTCTGATGAAGGTCAGAAACTGATGATGGTTTGTTTGTGAGCAGGTGATGCAGCATCCTACAGATGGAGGTCAGATCCTGGGTCTCCATAGCAACATGAAGGATGTTCCAGCACGTGTGGCGGAGATCAGTGTGTTCTCTCTGTCCAGCCAGCCGATTGACCATGAGGACGGTGGCCAGAGCAGGAACAAGAACAAAAACAACGGTGAGAATATTCAGTCACTTTCTCGTTTTTGTCTCTGTGTGTGTCTGTATATAATAATAATATGTCTCGTATGGATTGGATACGTTGCTGCTATCAGAACAAAAATCTGCGTCTCCAGAATGGTGACTTTACCGCAGAGGAGAAAAACATTATTAACAAGTTAAAGTTACGAGATTTTTAGAAGTAATTATTAGACTGTTTTTATTGGTTCCTCATGAAATTTTACCACAATGTAAAGTGAAGCTTGAGGTTTACAATTATACAAAAACGTCAAAAACAACAAAACTGGAGATGATTTTGTGCGACAGTGATGATATGGAAGTTATTATGTCAATGGAATAATAATGATAATAATATGTTCCATATGTATTATATATCGATGCTGTTCAAAAAACAATATCTCAATTTTTTGCAATTTTTAGTGTAGTAAAGAATATTTTTGCCCTCTCTTGTAAAGTTCTTGTTTTGGAGATACTTGTTTTTCTTTGGACAGTGATGATATGTGTAAGTACATATATGTAATAATAATAACAATAATAATATATCCCATGTTTGTTATGTGCTTATATATAAGAAACCTCGTATATATAAATATAGAAACCTATATATATATATATATATATATATATACGTGTGTCAAAAACTGAAGAATGACAAAAATAAAAATACAAGGTTTTCTTCTGACAGCAGCGATTTGTATTATATATGTGTATCTAAATATAATAATAATATGCCCATATTAAAAGTTATATTTTAACATCTATCTTCATATTTTTATATTTATTTGCATATAATAACGCTTTCTGTATGTATTACATATGGAAGCATCTATATATAATAAAAATATGTCTTATTTATTATGTATATGTAAGTAACTTTATATAGTAATCGGTCCTGTATGTATTATGTATATGTAAGTATCTATATGTAATAGAAATGTGTCCTATATATATAATGTATATGTATCTGTGTGTAATAATAAGTCCTGTAAGTATAATCAGTGCCCATACGCAGCGCCCCTGAGCTCCTGCTGCGGTGAGGTTCTAAAAGTGGACGAGTGAAAGGTCAGCTGTGAGTGTGAGTGTGTGGTGTGGATGTGTTTATAGAGAGTTGAGTTACAGGTTGGTTATGTAACGCTCTTTCAGATCGCTCCCCTGATATGGATAATTATTCGGAGGAGGATGACGACAGCTACTCCTCAGAGCAGGAGGCCAGCGATGACGCAGTGCACGGACAGGTGAGAAAACAGACCGGCCTCAGGAAAGTCCGCACACCTGCCAGCACTCACACCGTCTCAGATAAACACTCAGACGCCAAAAACACTGAGATGACCTCACGCTCTGACTCTGCCTGCTCTCTCTGCGCTCGCAGGACCTTGACGATGAAGACGATGACATCCAGAAGCCCAAGAAATCTCGACGGAAAGTGATCCGAACCACCTCCATGACTCGGGTGAGGAGAGCGGATTGAGTCTGAGGGGTGGGAGAAAACACTGATACAGCACAGTATCACGATTATCTGGGTGAAACAAATAGTATTGATTTCAGAATTTGAGATTTTGTTTGTTTTTTCTTTCTGCTGAGACTCTGCTGAGGCAAGTCAGTGGTGTTGCTTAAAGGAACAGCTGGATAGTGTAGTGGATAACGCCATGACCTCTGTCACATTAATAACACTGTTATTTACACAATTAGAGTCCTTTAACAAGTTACAATCATTCTACTATTACGTTCACCCACCAGCAAATTAAATGATATTAAACTGCAGCATTTTTTAATATCACAAATCTTTAAAGGGGACCCATTATTCTCATTTTCAGTATTAATTTTTTGGGCTTTACTGTAACAGATTTACAGCTTCAGTGTTCCAAAAACACATTATTTTCCTCATGCTGTTCATCTCTATTCACCCTCTGTCTGAAACGCCCTGTTAGAGCTGTGTCTTTAAGCCCCGCCTCCCGATGAGCATAGTGTTCTCTGATTGGTCCACCCCTGAACACACTCGTCCTCCTCCAATAGCCGCTGTGCACTGTGTGAGGGGGCTGAGTTTGCTGGTAGGCGGGCAGTAAGGACTGTGTTACGAGATAATGTCATCCTGTAACAAAGGAAAAGGGCTGGAATTCCAACCAGGCGTTTCAGGCAGCTGAGAAAAGTGGGTTCTGTGGGAGAGAGTTTCTCCCTCTGGAGGGAACGCTGAGCTTTGGGACTCTGCAGAACGTTTACATGAACAAAAAGCTACAAAACACTGAAGGAAAGAGAAAAACAGAAAGTAGAATTGTCCCCTTTGTAACTTGCAGTAGAAGCATGTCAGGGTTAAAGGGTCATGATAATAATATCATAAAGGGCAGGAGTTCACAGTCTCAGTCCTGTTGACCCAACAAACACCTGATTCAGCTCATTAACTCATTAAGACGTGCCTCGTTGGCTGGGTCAGGACTGTAGAGCAGGGTCACCAGGACTGAGATTGGGATCCCCTGATACAGGAGATACAGAGATTCCCCCCTCTAATAAGTACAGTCGGCCAAAAAGTAGCTTTTTTGTTTATTTTGACTATTTTCCAAAACATCAGAACTGTATAACACCGCATATGAAATCAGTGCATTGAGAAATTCTGGCACTTTGCTCTGACTTGCCAGTGATTAGAAACACCCACCATATAGGCGACGAACAGTGGGTTAAAAATCTAATAACAAACCTACTAATAGGGTGCTGTGTGCAGTATAGCGCCCCCTTCTGCTCTGCTAACGCTCAGCACTTCTCTCATCCACAGCAGCCGAACTTCAAGCAGAAGTTTGTGGCTCTGCTGAAGAGGTTCAAGGTGACGGATGAGGTCAGTGGGTCGGTGGTTATGATTGCTCAGTTTCTGAACTTGTGACTTTTATCTCCCCTCGAGAGACACGAGAGGCTGCTCTCACAGCTAGTTTGTTTGCCAAAGTCCAAACCAGAGTTTTGTTTTTTGTGCTATTCTATGTTTTTTATTTGGTTCTGTTGGTTTCAGTGCACCAAACTGTAAACATGAGTGTTTGTTTATTTGTCAGGAATGTTGCAGGGATGCATTATTAATCCTGTTTAACTGGATTTAGTGCAGTGCAGTTTGTAACACTGAATAAAAATCGTTGTAGTGGTAGTTTTTATTATGACTATGATTACATGTTATTATTATTACTCTTAAAAAGCTGGTTCTCCAAAAGTTCTTTAGTTAAGACAATGGTACTATATAGAGCCATGAACACTCAAAGAACCGTTTGCATGATTAAATGGTTCTTCAGATTGATAGAGAATGTGTTCTATACAGCACCAAAAAGGGTTCTTCTGCTGTTGCAGGCACGACATTGTAACAACAGCAGAACCCTTTTTGATATGATATTTTTGCCATATCACTTATTCAGCATCTGCCTCTTTATGGTTGGTTTGTCAGTTTAAATGTAACCAATCGTGCCAAAATCGATCACATTGCTTCGCTGTTATTGTATTGCTGGTTTGTCGACAGCAGCCTGCGCTGCAGGAGTGATACGAGCATCTGTCTCCCTCGTCCGGCGCTCAGGGTTATTATAGTTTTAAATTTAAATCACTTTCTATTTTTGTTTGGTTTTTGATTTCAGTTTAGTTTCAGTTCGTTTTAAGGGTGCAGTAATAGTTCTAGTTTTTGTTTTTTCCTTCTGAAAAAGTAAAGTCAGTTTTAGTTTTAGTGTTCAGTGTTCTGTTGAGCGCTGAGATAGCTGGTATCTGAGAAGAGTAGAATTAATGAACACACAAACACACTCCTGAACTCTCCTTCACTCTGAAAACACTAAAACCAAAGATTTATTCTCAGGAATTGTCGTTTTAATCAGTTTTAAAAACACTCATTTTTATTTTTATTACATTTTTAGTGTTTTAATGAGCTATAATAACCCTGCTGCTGACCACCACAGAAATGCGTTCTCACCAGCAGGGAACTGAACCTGGGTTCATTTAGAACCAAGACCTGAGCTGTTTGCTGGACCACAGTTCATCTGATTAGTGCACCTGACAGATCGAACCAAACTGAAGAAGTAGCACCAAAGCAGGCAGGTGTGAGAGCACGCTGAGACTCAGAGGCAGCAGTGAAGGTAAAATATGTTATTTATGGTGAGGGCAGGTTCTGGACTCAGACCCGGTGGATCAGACGCAGGAGGTGGAGGATCTGGACCTGCTGTACGACAGCCTGGAGGAGCACAACCACAGCGACAGCGGCCCTGACGTGGAGGACAACGAGAGCGTGCTTAGCACACCTAAACCAACTCTGAGGTACGGTAACATCAACATGGGGCTTCAGGGACGACTGATTTGGGTCGAACAGGGTCTGAATTTACAGTGGTTTGTTTGCATTTCATTCCAAGAAGTAAAGTGATGTTTTAAAATACGACATATTTAGTTACAGAGGTTTTGATAGCCGTATCCTCACAGTGGACACACGTAAATGTAATTCTGTAATCCAGTAGGACAAAGAGAGAAATCTAATGTGAACAGAGCAGTTTAATATTCTGGATGGTCAGTTTTCACTTTGAGATGGCTGATAAACTTTTCCAGGGCAGTTCTGAAAAAGGTCAGTCTGGAACCCTGACTGAATCATATTTATCAGTGTTTTCACATATAGTTTGTTTTAAAAGAACCGAACTGAGTTCTGTTAAACTGAACCTGAAAGGGAACCAACTGCAAATGACCTCAGTTCTTTTTGTGTTTACAATGTAAGTGAAATATGAAGAGGACTCAGTTCTCTTTCTGGTCCTTTGAGATCTCAGACCAGTTCTTGTTCAGACGACAACTCCACTAGAACTCAGTCCCCTTTCACAGCACTCACAGTGAGCGCAGTGCAGTGGGGTGGGTTCCGTTTTCAGCTGTGCACCTCACTGAGCTCCTCCCGGTGAAATTCCACGTCAGTGGTGAATTCTTATTCGTTCAGTGTGAAAGCAGCTGAAAATCGTGTCGCGTGTCCAGCTTGAGCTGTAAATTCACGCGGCTCTCACATCTGATCACTTTAATATGTCAGCACTGCTGTCTTGTCTCAGACGGACAGGCTCTGTCCTGAGTAGAACTTTATAAATGACCCTTGGTCTGTTTCACCTGCTGAAGTGCTGAAGACTGTGGCTGTGTGTGCGGTCAGCCTCGAGGTCTTCACCTTAAAGCTAAAGTGCTCTGGAGCCGTTTTGTTTTCAGAATGTACAAATCAATTGAACCACAAAAAACGAACTACAAACGAACCGAACTGAGACCACCTGAGACCACCTGTTCGTTTTTGTGGCCGTTTAGAGGGTCTGAGTTAATTTAGAATGTTCACATATGCAAAAGAAACCATGACTCAGCGGTGAAAACGCCCTGTCCTACTTACTTTATGGGTTGTTTATGTTAAACACAGGATTTGTGAATACAGTTTTTCTCTCTCTGTGTTTTTAGGCCGTTTTTTGAGGGAATGTCTCACTCCAGCTCTCAGACTGAGATCGGCAGTGTACACAGTCAGAGGAGTCAACAACAGGACACGGTCAGACACGCTCACACTGTAATATACACAACAACATACACACAATAACATATACAGTAACGTACACACTAACATACACAGTAACATATGCAGTACTATATACAGTAATACATACAGTAACATACAGAGGAACATGTACAGTAATATTAACAATAAAATTCACAGCAAAAGAAAAAAACTAAATGCGCTGTGCTGGGCTCTCCCCTTCAATAATCACATGATCAGAGATCGGTTTGTAATACTGGTCTAAATGTGTATTCAAAGCTGATCATTTTTATTAAACAAACATCTGTCGATGCTGATATGACTCTCATATCGTTGTGCGTCTCTAATAATGCAGCTCTATAATAATGAACAAGGTTTTGAATTGTGGAGTAGAGGCTGCAGCACAGACTCACTATAAACACCTTCATTTCAGAAGAAACGCTGGATTCTCAGCACTGCAGTAACACTGACGTGGTGGTGTGTTAGTGTGTGTTGTGCTGGTCTGAGTGGATCAGACACAGCAGTGCTGCTGGAGTTTTTAAACACTGTGTCCACTCACTGTCCACTCTATTAGACACTGCTACTTTGTTGGTCCATCTTGTAGATGTAAAGTCAGAGATAGATGCCTGATCTGTGGGGGTCCTGACTGTTGAAGAACAGGGTGAAAGGGGCCTGACAAAATGTAGAAACAAGGAGGTGCAGTTGTGGGGAGGAAGTGGCTGGTCAGTGTATATTGGACACATGATTGTATAGCATATTTGGTTACTGTTTTAGTTCTGCATTTACTGGGAAGGCGAG